GATTAATAGCTCGCTTGAATCTGGAAGTAGAACAAATGGATGTCAAGATTGCCTTTCTTCATGGTGATTTGGAGGAAGAGATCTACATGAAGTAACTAGAAGGATTTGAAGTTAAAGGAAAACAGAATCTAGTCTGCAAACTGAAAAAGAGTCTCAACGGCCTGAAACAGGCGCCGAGACAATGGTATAAGAAGTTTGATTCATTTATGGTGGATCACGAGGACACAAGAACGGTAGCAGACTAGTGTGTATATTTCCGAAGGTTTTCGGATGGAAACTTCATTATCATATTGTTGTATGTCGATAATATGCTGATCATTGGACAGGATACTACTATGATCACCAAGTTGAAAAAGGACTTGTCTCAGTATTTTGACATGAAGAATTTAGGCCCAGCACAACAGATTTTGGGCATGAAGATTGTTCGTGACAGAAAAGCCAAGAAGATATGGCTGTCATAGGAGAAATATGTTGAACGGGTGATTGAAAGGTTTAACATGAAAGATGCTGAGCCAGTCAGCACACCACTAGCCAACCATTTCAATGTGACAAAATGTTTGTCACCAAGTTGAAAAAGGACTTGTCTCAGTCTTTTGACATGAAGAATTTAGGCCCAACACAACAGATTTTGGGCATGAAGATTGTTCGTGACAGAAAAGCCAAGAAGATATGGCTGTCATAAGAGAAATATGTTGAACGGGTGATTGAAAGGTTTAACATGAAAGATGCTGAGCCAGTCAGCACACCACTAGCCAACCATTTCAATGTGACAAAATGTTTGTGTCCCACGACCGGCTCTGAAAGGAAAGAAATGGAGGCAATCCCTTATTCTTCCGCAGAAGGAAGTTTGATGTATGCAATGGTATGTACCCGGCCAGATATAACTCACGCAGTTGGCGTTGTGAGCAGATTCCTCGCCAATCCAAGAAAGGAGCATTGGGAGGTGGTCAAATAGATTATTCGGTACTTGAAGGGAACTTCAAAGATGTGTTTATGTTTCGGAGGAGCTGAACCAATTTTGGAGGGTTTTACAGATGCCGATATGACAGGTGATCTTGATGGTAGAAAGTCTACATCAAGATTTCTGTTCACCTTTGTATGGGGAGCCATCTCATGGCAGTCCAAACTACAAAAGTGTATTGCTCTATTTACAACAGAGGCAGAGTACATTGTTACCGCAGATGCTGGAAATGAAATATTGTGGTTAAAGCGGTTTCTCCAAGAATTGGGTCTACAGTAGAAGGAATACAAGGTACATTGTGATAGTCAGAGTGCAATTGATCTGAGCAAGAATTCCATGTACCATTCACGTACAAAACACATTGATGTTTGGTATCATTGGATACGAGAAGTGATGGAAAAACAACTGATGAAGCTAGTGAAGATTCACACGGACAAGAATCCTTCTGACATGATGACCAAGGGTGTCACCAGAGACTAACTGGAAGTTTGCAAGAAGCTGACTGGGATGGACTTCAAGTGAGAAGTCAGTTATCCATGTGGGCGTGGAGAGGGAGAATTGTAGCTTCTAGCCCACACTCCACATGGTGTGGATGGCACCATATGCTAAAGAAAGGTGGTGGGGGCAACACCAACTCACTAAAGGAAGATAGTGAGGGTGGCACCACCTTGGCCAATTATGACTGTCCCTTCACCCACTCCTCTTCTCTCGGTTATAAATTGAGATGAGTGAGGAGGGGTTGTATATGGGAGCGACACATAGAGCTGAAGAAAGCAAACACAGAGTGTATAATCTGTGAGTGAGAGTGCATTCCATAGAGGGTTATGAAGTGCGAGTTGTAATCTCCCTCCGGGATAATTCTATAGTGGATATCACTCCCGTAGACGTAGACAATTGTCGAACCACATAAATTTCTTGTGTTAATGTGTATGATTGATTTCTGGTGTCCCATAGTCCTAACATGTGGTGGAACCCTTTACAATCGCACGAGTCCAAGCACGTCTTCAAGCATCTCTGCAAAGTTTAGTTTAGCAAAATTTGGATGTCATAGCCATAGAAATCAACATTTGGGACCTTAAAAAAAGTGAAATTCTCCTCACTTTGATTGCAGGAAAGGTTGAATTCAGGTTCACATCTGCGAGACCAGTCAGTAGGATCTCTGATTCTGAACCCAGGTAAACACGAGCAATCTTGTCCAAACCCAGCACTATATCTACACGCTTTCGACTTAGTTTTAATACATTTATAATGAACACGATAAATTAAAGAAATATTATGAACTTTTTCTTTCATATTAGTAAATGAACCATTTAATTGAATATTCAAAGTTAATGCATCTAAAATATGTGGATCACAAAGACTAAGTGTAAAATCAGGAAAACAATTAAAATGTACTGGTCCTTTGTGGAGACCAGTTTCCATCATACCCATTAAACTATCATTATAATCAAGAAAACGTGCATCTCTTAAACATAATAAAACAGAAGTATTTCTACCTTGTGGAGTTAATTGTTTTATTCCAACTTGAATTAATTCTAAATGAATAAAATTATGACCAGTTTTTAAATGACGTTTAATTGTTTGAGCATCAAATAATTGACATGTTTCTTGAGGTTTAGCCAAGGCATAAACTTGTTCTAATGTTTTAACATGCAGATTCATATGAAAAGTATTTTGTATAAACGTAGTCTTATAAATTTCTTTGACAGATAGTTTTGGTATATTCCAACTTAAATCAATTTTATCATTTTGTATTTCAACATCTTCTTCATTAATTACTAATCCTTAATTAGGTATTGTAGGTAAAGTTGCTGACCTAGAATTGACTGACGAGTTACTTCTAAATAATCGACTCATTTTTCTATTAATTAATTTGTTTTACAGGAATCTTAATACATTGTCTAAATTTATCATATTTTCACATACGTTGTGTTCATACATTCCCTATTCGAATGACCCATAAAATCCGACACTGCCTAAGCCAAAGGACTTACAAAGGATAGGGACGAAAGTGGGTGACTAGTAACAACGTGAAAAGACACAGATAGAATTTTAGACAGATTAAGATGACTGAAAACAAATTAATAGATAGAAAAGAGAGAAGGATTATACAGAATTAACCAGATAGTAAGTAATAATTATTCATATTTTACATAGTTTCATTTTTTTTTTTTTTCTCTTTTAAAATTTCTTATCAAATCTCTCAATTAAAGACAGGGTAAGGAGCACAATCCCAACAAACACTACAAGAAAAAGGACATACAGCGACGTTTTTTTTATGACGTTTTTCCAAAGCGTCGTCAAATCTGTCCAGATTTTTCAAATTCTAAAAGACCATTTTGTGCGCCAGTTATTTCTTTTAAACAGTGGCTCAACTCAAGGCTATGGCATTCTTTTATCCTGATTGAACAGAGGCGTGATTTTTGGTAGAGAGAGAAATCGAGGCGTTGAATCTTCGATCTCCATCAATTCTTCGACTGTTTGATCCGAAAAATCTTGTTCTACTCTTGATTTGAGGGTATATCTTCCTGATTGTTCGAATCCCTATGATCTAAATCGATCTAGGGCTCAAGGTTAGGGTTTTCTGGAGCGTATATCTTCCAGATTGTTTGAATCCCTATGATCTAAATCGATCTAGGGCTCAAGGTTAGGGTTTTCTGATATAGATTTGCTGCATTCACACAAGATCTATAAAATTTCATGGCTAACGATTTGGAATTATTTTCTGTTGATTTAGTTGATTTCCAGGTTTTTTTGCTTTTGTTTTGTGTTTTCTCCTTTTGTTTTTGTTCCTTTATTCTTTCTGGCCCTTGTGTGGTAAACTCTTCTCTTTCATCAGATTGAGCAGCAGCAATGGTGAATCGATTTATCTAGGGTGTCTCTGATCATGTACGGGACAAGCAAGTGGCGTTGGATGTGGATCGTTGGAAACAGTGAGTAGAAGCTCAACGATGAAGAGATGCAGATCTACTCTCTCTTCGATTAGATCTGTTCTCTCTCTCTCTCTCTCCGACCTGCTAACATGGTAATATCAGATCTGCTTTGTCTCTCTCTAGTCCATTATTTTGCCTTTTTGTGGAATCTCATTTTGGCATTTCTTGCCTGGAAGAGAGTGTTCATCACACTTCTCCAACATCAATAATCTATTTTTATATGTTGAAAATGTCTTCCAATTCTTGATCTATCCTGTCTCTCTTCTTGCTAAAAGGGTAGGATGAGAGGTCTCTTTGGTCAAAATGCCTGCATAGTGCACAAAATCTAGACCAAGTTGTGGTGCTAGAGTCCCATATTCTTTTATGAAGATCTATGTTTCCATTTATGTACTTGACTATGTATACAATAAGGAATAGAACTGTGACACATCCAGTAATAAGGAAAAACCTGCAAATATAAATGCAAAGAAGGTGATTTATATCATGAATGAGCAATATTACTACGGGTGATAAGCTATACGAACAAAAAAATACATTTTTTTGGGTACAGTATGACATGTTTGAACTGAGCAATTCGTTTTAAATTAAAACATCCATAAGAAGGAACTTAATTTCAAAAATTTCATCATCATAACATTCTATATACACTTTTTGCATAAATTTTATGTAAGAATAGACTTTCCCTATTTATGTAAGAATAGAATTTCCCTATTATTGCTATCTTTTTGCATAAATTTTATGAAAAAGTTTACAGTTCTGTTGTCCTGCAAGGGATGAGTAAGAAAGAACAGAAGAAGAAACATGTGATTAATACCCATGTAACATATTAAAATAGAAGAGACGGAAAAGAAGTACTAAACATAGAGGTTAAAAGGAAGGGGGAAGGGGAATCAACCTTGCTTGATGTAATAGACAATAGACATAACACTTCTTTTGGCTTTGCTTGTTTCAGCTAAGTGTATCCTTGTTGAGGAGTGTCTTTGTGAGCCTAAGCCTTTTCAGTGTATTAGGTGTTATCTAATATGTTATACATGCTAGGCATGTGTTACCCTTTAGAGAGGTGGTGCCTTCGGGCGTGTTCTAAGCTTTCATTGTATATCATATTTTTTTTGGTAAAAAAATCACTTGACAAAAAAAGAAAAAAGAAAAAAAAGAAAAGTGGATTAGGTAGAAACCTAACACAACTTTTTTTATGAGTTAACGATGATCGGATTCGATTTATGGTTTGGTTTTACATCTGATTTGAATTTATCATTGCTTGATTGTAATTGGTCGATCGGATTTATGTAGTCTTGAAATCATCTTTGGCTTTGTTAATTGATGCTTATAAATAAATAGATTAATGCGTGTTTCTGTTTTAGCTACATTCGCTTTCATGTTACTTTGTGTGGACAAAACAAAATCTTGGAAGCATAGAACATAGAATCTGTAGATGTATCTGTGTATTTTTTGCCTAAAACAGTGTATCTTCTTTAACATCAATTGCTTTGTTAGTTCGCAATCTTTATTTCTTTCTTATTTGGAAGGATCTTCTATGCGTTAGAAACTGTGTTAAATTGATATTTTCTCCTCCTTTTTTGGTGGATAAGATTCACTTTTTGTCACTGTCAGGGCTTCTGATGTTGTATGTGTTTTATTTTTTGGTTCAATTTTAGTAATTTATTTGTTTTTCCCCGTTTTGTTGTTTTTTTCTTTTTTGCATTGGGATGTGATTTGTATGGGTTGATGATGCCAGAGCTACGAAGCAGAGCACGAAGATCAAACAGGCTTGGTGATCTGCAGCCTTCTCCTCAACCAATCAATCAAGTGGAAAATTTGGCCTTACCTGCTCAAAACAGAACCATGTCTGGGTATGTTTCTAAGGAAATTTTGTTCACTGCTATGCTTCAGTTTCAGTTTCAGGCTTCTTCATCGTCTTCAAGGGTTTAGGGTTTTGCACAGAGAGACAAATTGGGAATTTTTTTTTTCTCTTTTAGGGTTTTCGGAGAATGTGGATGAGATCAAGGCTGAGTCGCCGGCGATTTTCTACGGCGATTCGACGTCGTATTGAAGACGAAGGTGACTGGTGTTACTCCTCGAAATGGTGGGGGAACGAATTCGACGGCCACATCGTTCTCCGATCAACTTCTGATAAAGGAAATGGCATCATCTCCGTCGTTGCTTACCCTTCTTCCAGACCAGTATAGCCTCTGTGTGTGTGTGTGTTTGTGTGCGGGCATATCTGTACACTTATGTGTGTATGTGTGCATAGTCTATACATATCCTATGTGGGTTTGGTACTAAACTGATTGAATAGATTCATTGCTGGGTTTAGTACTAATTTCACATTTAAATTTTTAGATGGGTTTGATTATTGCGAGGCGGTTTGATGAACGAGAAAAACCATAATTAAGCAATTTTGGGAATGAATGAGAAAAACTGTTCTGAGGGACATTCATTAAAAAAAAAAAAAAAACACATGATATGAGTCACATTGTGTATGCTTTATATAATAGCATTGATAAATTTGCATAGTGTGTGCTTGATCAAATTGCATACTATATGTTTATTAGAGATGTTTGATAATCAGTAATATCAAAGATCCCATTTTTCCCTCTTACATTCCATTTGTGTTCCAATTTTCTGCCAATTTTGGGATTCAAACCTTTTCCTTTTTGCAGCGCTTTTCTAATTAATTTCGAGTTCTCTTGGACACCAACACTTTCTCAACTCAAACCCAGGATGTGGTTTCTATCTTATAAGCATGATTCACTGGTTAATATTTTGTTGTAATTTGTGCAGAGTGAAGTTCATTGGCCAGAAACACAGAATTTGTGCAGAGTGAGGTTCAAATCCCAATTTGGGCTAGGAGGATACATTTTGAATTCTTACTTCTCATGTGGAGACACACACACACGCGCACGCAATACACTTGATGTGAAATTGCATAATTGAATGTGAAATGATTATTTATTTCACTGCTATGCTTCAGTTTCAGTTTCACAAATATTTATGCTACCTATGTTATGTCGCAGTTTCACTCATAAATATTTATGCTTTGGTTTCTTTGTTTTTCCACAAGATATGGTTGTTCTTCCTTACAAAGATAGCCTATTATTATTTAGTAGGTATTTACAACAATTGGTCATGGAGTCACTTGGGAAGGAGTTTGACTTGGATGGTAATCGGGTATGTCCAACCATCTCTGCCAACTCGTCTTGTTTGAACATGGAACAAATTTGATGTCCAAAAATATCATTATCTATTTAATTGGCATTAGTATTGTTTACCATTGAAGCATTTTGAATTTGTGACACCTCTGGCAACTATGATGTGAGACTAAGGCTACTTATTTCAGATGGCCATATATTTTTGTCACACTATAGAGTGTCAACTTGGTAGTGGTTCAGGAGGAAACAGCTAAATGGAGTAGGAATTTTCAAAGGAAATATTCCTTTTATCTTTCTTGCTAGAGAGTACAATGATGGCGCCGTACCCCATAATTTTTTTGTCTCTTAATTGTTCTAAACTTTTAATCTCTTCATTAGAGCTAAAAATTCTAACTAAAAATGGATGCTATTTTCATTGCAGGTGCAAGGAAAAGATCGCCTACTTGTAAAGTGTGTGGCCGAGTAGTTGGAATTGGAAGGGTCATACGTTCCTCGTACTTATATAGAACAAATACAGCTGGAGAAACTTGTAGATGAGGTTATGGTATGGAAACTTTCCAGAGCTTCTAATGTCTTTTTCCAAGCACCCTTTTCCTGATCTAATCATTTTGCAGGCATTACCAGATGACTTGAAGACAAAACTCAGCATGGATGATGATCTGGTGGTAGCAAGTCCCAAAGAAGCACTTTCTCGAGCTGCGGAGAGGGTTGCCATGAGAAATAAGAATCTCAGGAGGTGTAATTTTCTAACCCATATTTATTGTTGTAGTTTTGGCTCACATTTGACAATTATGTTTGTCATACATTCTTGGTGTGGCTTTAGAGACATTTCTTCATTCGTTTGAGATTTAGTCATTGATGTGGTTGAACTATTGTTGTTTGTGGCACCAACTTATTTCAGCTGCTTGGAGATTTAGTCATTGATTCTCATTGTTATTATATTCAGACAAAGATTAAATAAGTAAAATTGTATTTTCATTTCTGTATTTTGTTGTTTTTGAAAGTTTTTTTTTTTTGTAAGAACTTTGACTGATAAATGGGAGATTAAGCAGAAATTTACATTCTGATCCCAGAGTGTGCAGAAATTCCCTGTTACATTCTTATTGATAATTGTCAAGATAATGTTTGGCATTCTCTCTCATGAGAACATTACTGAGGAGGGTACAGCTTCCTAAGAGTTTTTGAACATAAATGAGTGTGGTCATTCATGTGTAGATTAGCTTTTAAGCTAGTAATATTTAGTAATTTTTATTATCAACTCAAATGCAAAGGATGTGATGTGAGTCTGGGATCAGAATGCAAAGGATATGCTCTCTGTTGTAGCTAAGAAATTAAGCACAAATTAATGGCATACTCTATGTTGTTGGTGGATATGATGGAAGAAATTAATTGAGGTTTTTCAGTTTAATGGGCTTCTTCACATTTAAATTGACATGCAAGGTTTTACTCTTTGTTTCTACATTTGTGCCACTGTGTTGCAGGTATCAAGCATACAATTACGAGATGACCTTTTGTCAATGTTAGTTTCTGGGCATGAGACCACTGGTTCAGTGTTGACTTGGACAGCATATCTTTTGAGCAGGGAATAACGTGTAGTACCTTTTATCTTAATGAGTGGTTTTATTTATTTGAACCATTATACTGAAAATCTTGTAGATTTTTCACTACACGGCCAAGCAAAGCTACCCAACAGAAAATCTTGTAGATTTTTCATTTTTTCTGAACTTCATTAATAGGAAAATTAGTTAATGACTTGTAGATTTCAGTTTCGTTTTTTAAAGATGTGCAGCATCTTTAACTTTTTCACCATATATATATTTATGTGTGTGAATATGTGATAATAGAAGTTCTCTAAATAGTTGATTCCATTTCTACTTTTGAGTATATAAGTAGATTTGACTTTAAAGGCCATACATCTTTATCATGCATATTTAACTCCACATTAAATTTTGCAGAGTTGCAAGGTTGAACTATAAGCAAGCCCTGTTTCTACCTTCTATGAAACAGGTAGAAACATCTTGTCACATATTCACAAACAGAGTTGCAAGGTTGAACTATAAGCAGACTTTAAAGGCCTTTTTTGTCTTCCCTATTCAATTCTATGGCACAACATATTTTATCATCTTGTCCAACAATTTACTATTGGCTCCACAGTTGGATTTGACTAAAATATAGAAAGTGAAAGATAAGCTATACAACATAAAGTAACTTCAAAGTGAAAGAATGCTCCTAGCAGAGTTCATCACAAACCTTAAAACATATTAGCTACAATAAATTCTCCAGAAAATTCTACTGTCTCATACACATTTTGTTATTAATTTTTTAAAGTCCATGATGATTTGGAACCAATGACTACTATAGTGTGCTGGCATTGGAACAAATTGAGTCACTTCTTCACTTTATACTTGTTTGTTTCAATGAGCATGTGTTCTGCTATTATTATGATTGCTATTATGTGTTCTGATATCTCAATATGACTTCCACAAGACGACTCAATTGGCGGCATAGATGTCAGTGCATCTCCTCCAAGAATTCTACTTATGAAGAGGAAAAGGGAGAGGACATTTCTAGAGCAATCTTGATATGGAGAGAAATCAAGTTACCAATTTACTCTGTTGCCTTGGTTCCTCTCACTGTGAGTTGTTTTTTTACTCTTCGATCTTTTGAGAATTCTTCGAAGTCCTCAATTAAAATTTTGATTAACTAGTTTTGTTTTTCTTTTTTAAATTCAGTATTTTCTGTTATTGGGTTATTAACTAGATGTTATTGTGTTATTGGCTTCCTCGATTCTTATAATCACTTGTCTAAATTTAAGGTGTGATACTAAGACGCCTTGATGGTTTATGGAATTCAGTTTAATATGACTCGAAAATGCGCAAGACAATTGTAAACATCTTCATAGTAGAACTATCTTTTACTCCTTTGTTTTCTGTGTAAAATGGGCAGCAACAACGTTTATGATTTTGATACTGGAGCAGATAAGACTAAGAAAGAGTCAGTTGTAAATATAGTTGGCAAGTAAGGCTCCCAGCAAGTTTTCATTCTTCTTTTGGCGTAGCATAGGGTTTAGTTTTATGGCATTACTGTTCCTCACTGAAAAGTGTTGTAGCACAGTAAAAGGGCATGCCATCTAAATGGTAGCAAAATAAAGAGGTGGGACTTGAATTGCCTAATCTGAGTCCAAAGTGTCATGTGGACAAGAGGGCTGCCAAAATAATAAAAATAAATAAATATGGGTTGATGTACAAGAGACAACATGTTGTTTAATAATCAAATTTAATAATCCCTTCTTTTTTTGATATTTTATTGATACCATCATTATTGTTATTATTAAAGTCAGCCCTTCTAAGTTTTAAATTGGTGTTGGTTGCTTCAGCCATTGTTCTCTTTCAATTAGCCAGCATATTTGTGATTTTTTAGGTCTTGTTTGTTCCTATGTTTACTTCGATTTGTAGTAGCACTTTCATTTCAAAATGCATCTGCCACTGCCAGTATAGAAGTAGAATAGTGTTTTGCTGATTTATTTTTCATTTCTACTCATATTGTGTCCTCTATTGAAATAAATTAGTATGAAATCTAAGTTGACTTCGATCATAGGAATACAGAGCATGGATTCTGTGAGTGATGATGTTGCAACTTAAAATTAGACCAAAATTTTTGTGTTATGTATGATTAATGATTAGATTTCTGAATGCAGCTTGTGGGGCACTTTCTGGAGGAGACATGTGTAAACCCTACTTTCATTATTAACCATCTAGAGATTATGAGTTCATTGGCAAAGTGGCATAGGTCAAAACCAGGCTTGACTGAACGTTTTGAATTATTTGTCAACAAGCGTGAAGTATGTCATACCAGCTAAGGATTTCTATTTAGTTCTTTATTATTGTTATTTTTTTAAAATAGTGATTTTCTAAGGATTATGTATATATATACTTATATTTATATTTTTTCCTTGCATGCCATCTATGTTCTGTACGTAGGTTTGCAATGCATACACGGAGTTGAATGATCCTGTGGTACAACGCCAACGGTTTGCTGACCAACTCAAGGTATTATGATCATTAGGAATTGAATCATTGTGGCATGTAAAGTCATGTTGTGTGGGGTGCCTTGACTGAAGATTTTTGTATGATTAAATTTCAGGACCGACAATCAGGTGATGATGAAGCAATGGCTTTGGCTGAAACATTTTGCACGGCTCTCGAGTATGGTTTGCCCCCAACTGGTGGTTGGGGACTGGGTATTGACCGACTAACAATGATGATGACAGATTCGCAGAACATCAAGGTTTGTGTTTTACCTTTGTGTGGTTTGTGTGAAATGTTCATGTGTTATCAGTTTGTGGTTTTGGATTTCCTTGCTGGTGATTTTTCATTTTTTTAATTTATTGGTAGTGTTGGTTTGGTGGGGTTGGGGTCGGGTGTGTTTGGCTGGACGTGGGAAGTTTCATATTCTACAATAGAAAGTTTTTTCAACTGAGCTTTTTTACTCAAGTGTCAATTGTTTTGTTTTTTGGTTTGGGGACAGGAAGTTCTACTCTTTCCGGCCATGAAACCTCAGGATGAACCTTCTGCTAAAGAACACATCCAAACAGCTTCTGGCTTGGGTCCAGTATAGGTTTTCAATCTGCCAATATGCATGCAAATCTGCCTACAGAAGGTTTACTTCTGTTTTGGTTATGCATTTAAATCTTCCTGCAGAAGGTTTACTTCTGTTTTGGTTAAATTGTTTCTAATTTCATTTCTTTTCATTTCATTTACTTTTGTTTTGGCGGTGAGAAACAAACATAGGATTGAAAACATTAAAGTTGTGCATGTTTTTGTCAAATCTGGATTGAGGGCTGCTGTTGGCTTTTTGTTAGAATACTATGAAAGTCATTTCCAAATTTTGGTTATAAACTTACATATTGACAACCATTGTTCAGGGGGCTCTCATTGTGGTCTGTTTCTGGCCAGACCATCTCATCTGTCTCTCCCTAAGAAAGTACTGCTGTTATTGTGTAGGGGTTGTCCTCGTACTATGTTTACTATGCAATCCAATTATTCTGAGTACACTTTTAATTCTTCGCAAATCAGTTATTTGTGCATAGATTTGAGATGATGTGTTGTTTCACTGATGATGGTGGTTAGTAAATTTCTTTATAAAGTGCTCACTGAATTGAGTTATGCTAGGTTTTAGTGTGAAATGCTAATCACAACACTTTGCTACTATTACCGGCTTTTCCTGTAGCCATAGAAAGATGAAAATCTATTAATACATGTATAAAAAATGATCAGAAACAAGGAGGATTCAAAATGTTAAAAACGTTAGTAAATTGAAAAAAGAAAAAAAATTAGCACAATTTTTTTTTTTATATTAGTACTATATGAATGGGAGTTATTATTTTATATTAATACTATTTTAGTTTTATTCTAGGTATTTTTTTAAAAAATTAGCACAATTTTTTTTTTAAAAAAAGGGCTATCACGGCGTTTCTAAAAACGTCGTTAAATAGTTGGGAAAAAGAGATGTGGCAGCGTTTTAAAAACGTCGCTAAATAGTATGGTGACGTCATGTTACAATTAGTAGAACTTTTAGCGGCGTTTTTATAAACGCCGCCTATAGCAATATAGCGACGTTTCGAAACGCCATAGAGTTATAGCGACGGCCGCATCTTCGACGTTTGGTGCTAAACGTCACAAAAAGATTTGACGGCGTTTTTAAGACTTATAGCGGCGTTTTTTAAACACCTCTAAAACCCTAATTTCCAGCAGTGTTTCTCCATTGTTTCTTTCACAACTTCCTGGAAAAGTTGAAAAGATAAAAGTTACAAGCAACTGGTGACAGACAACAGAATATTATATATTTAAAGAATTACTGCTACAGTCCCTATCCACGACAAAAAGCAATTTAATGTATTTATCTTTTCAATCTTTTTGCATTAGATGAGTATTGCATTGACCATATGATAATTTTTAGAAACATTAGTGAGTTTGCACATCTCTAGAGACAAGGGCTTGATAAACGCTTGAGCCTTCATGCGCACTTGATAAGCACTAGAGCACCCTAGTAGAATAACAATCGAGCCCATTTAAAAGTAATCAATCACCATTGTGCAGACATTGATTTTGCTATTGATATTTCCAGATTGGAGCACTCACTTAGGGCTCGCTTAGAGATCAAGCGATTGAGCCTATTTTTTATTGTTTTTTCTTCCAATGAGCAGTGCTCATGCAGAAATTGACCTAATCTGACTTGCTTTAGCTTTCTAATTGCTCTTTTCATATATAGAAGGACCCTATGAAGCATGGACATGGACATGAGACACGGCAATTTTCAAAAAATGGGGGACACGGACAAGGACACGGCGGGGGACACGGAGATTTTTTTTTTTATTATATATTTTTATGCGTTATGTAGATTCATATTACATTCATTCTAAATCAAAATTAACAAACACTAACATAGTACCATTAATTCAATAAATATAAGAGGCAAAAGATTCAACATCCAACATCCAACAAAAAATATAAGGGGAAAACATCCAACATCCAACAATATTCTTCACAAAAGCACTAAATAAGAGGCAAAGAAGAAGGGGAAAAAGAAAAGAACAGAAAAGAAAAAAAGTAGGCCTTTCAAAGCTTCAAGTAGATCCAATTTCTTGCACGTCTTCATCATCATTAGCATCACCACCTTTTTCTTCGTTTGCACCTCCATCATCTGTAAACAACACAACCTCCATCTAGAAGAAAACCCCCAAATTATTTGCAACCTCAAGCATTCCAACATCATCAAAT